CTACACTAAACCAGACAAAGCAAGCGAGTACAGGGGCAGGGAACACAGAGTCAAAGCAGCCCCGGCCCAGTTTCCTTCAGGCTTCCTTACCTGGCACCTTTTATATCTAGAATGATCGAAGTCTCCTCAGCTTCTAAACTCTGATGACTTTCTGAATTACCCAGAGCAACTAGGAAAAATCTGAGTATATGTTAAATACTTGGTAAGTACTAGTGAATAAAAGGGTTACTTTCTAAAAGCAGGAGTTAAGGTTCAAATCTCAAAAGGAAGAATGGAACCAACGGAAGAAGGGCATTCCAGAAAGATGTGATGAAAAGCCTGGACACAAGCATGCAGGTCCGAGACAATCCTCAGGCAATGGTGAGTGGATCAGATGACTGGAGAAGAAAGGAAGGAAAACAAAGATCACAAAGGGAGCTTTGGCCACAGGACCAACCAGGATCTTGAGATCTGATGCACCTGGGAAGTCCTAAGGAGCCATCCAGTGTTCTCAGAGGCAGTGATTAGACTGACTGGTGAGAGATTATACAGAAACTAAGACCCCCTAGAAGAAGGGATGTTCAGATACCGCCCTGTGAAGCTACTTAAATTCTGATAGAGATCTGGGATTTTATTAGCATATGAACATGAGGAAGTACAAAAGATTAGCAGTAAGAAATACAGCGTTAGTATAATCCCTAATCAAAAAAAAAAAAAAAGAAAGAAAGAAAGAAAGAAAAGAAAAGAAAAAAGAAAAAAAAGGACAGGAACAGAAACATCAATAGACCACTATCAGGAGTTCAGGAAGAATTCTGAACCTACCTCTTAAGAGATTCAGTTGAAAAATTGGTATTTATCTTAATGCAAAATGCCCAATAAACCCCTGTTCTGTTTTATTTTGTTTTCTTATTCTTTTCCTTTTGTAACCATCCATTTGTAGGTATTTATCTGATGTCTCCTGCCATGGAACCATGACAGCAAAGCTGTATCATTTTCTATTTCAAGCAAAGGAAGAAAAACACATGAAGGTAAATAGCAGAAAATTTATGTTTGGTCAGTGGAGTTCTCTGCTCTCCCTCTAGCACACTTAAAAGAACAAAGATTTTAAACATATGGAACAATGCTCCAAAATAATTTGCTCGTTCCTTCCAAGTAATACTCCTAATTAGTAAGCCTTAAATTAATAAGCTTAAGGAAAATGGATGCTATTGAAGGGAAAGTAACTATAATGATTTAAAGGCATTACAGGGGCATAGATACCATAGGGAAATTAAGAAGGTATCTGAGATCCCCTAAGAATTTTGAAGTCCTATGTTATATACTGTGTAAGTTCATTAAGACAGCCATTTTTCAGGGGAACATGGCCTGATCTATATTAAAGGTAATTTTCTTAGCAACCTGAGCATTTTACATGGGAAACTAGGCCCACTTTCATTTTACTCTGAGTTCAAAGAGAAGTGAATTTATCGATTAAGTCTGAATTAACATAAGGTCATATCTAGAAATAACCTCTAAAAAAATGTTAAAACATTAGCATATCTGAATATTCTTATAAGTACTGTGAAATATGAGTATCAACATGCAAAACAAAGCATCATTTCGGTGGTTTTCACTCTCAATCAACAAAAGAACAGTCACAGATGGCTGGGTACCAGAGAATCCTCTTTATCTACATTTTATGTAATTGTAGGAGAATATACAGGGGTAGGAATAACCTCTGTGGTGTGATCCAATCATATAAAGATCCCTGAACAGGAAAGCGACTTAACAAATTTGATGGTATTTAGAAATGAGAAGAAAGGGTTGCTTCAACAGACAAAGGATAATTTGAATTTTGCTCAAGGGCAAAGATACAAACAAGTGTACAGGTACCTCTGTGTGTGTGTGTGTGTGTGTGTGTGTGTGTGTGTGTGTTACTGAGGTATTAATACAGACTAAAGACCACAAATCTCCAGTTTACAGTTCAGTGATTTTTACATGTGTGTGTATATGGGAAGCCATAATGATAGAGAATATTATCAGCATTCTAGAAGATTCTCCTGTGCTCTCTCTCAGGCCAAAAAGTAATAATCTGATTTCTATCACCAGTGTTTGATTTCACCTTTTCTTGACCATCATATAAAAGGAATCATACAACATATACACATTTGTGTCTGGCTTCTTTGGCTGATGTTAAATCTGTGAAATTCATCTATGTTATTATGTGTATAGACAGTCTGTTCTTAATTGCTCAGAATATACCCCAATTTACTTATCCATTCGACAAATGATGAATATTTGGGTTGTTTCTAGTTTGGAGCTATTATGAATTAAGCTACTGTAACACTCCCCTCTATATCTTTTGTATGTATACTTGTGTTTGAGTGTGTGTGTGTGTGTGTGGACATAAACACTGCACTCATTTGTCTTGAATATATACCTACACGTGGAACTGTGCACCACACAGTATTTCTCCTGAAATATTAACGGGAAAACAAATACCTTTCTTCAACATGCAGAATGATTTGTTTGGTTATTTCTTTTACCTCCTATGTTTTTAAAGTAAAGTCAGACAGCCTCTAGTGCAATGATTCCACCCCAGCTCAAATAGCAGAATCCCTCGGGAAACTTCGTTAGAGATTCCTCTGTGTTCCCGCCCCCTGCCAAACAAAACTACCCCAATCTAAACTAGAAATGCAGTGAATGGGGTAAAGAGATACTGCTGGAGGAAATAAACACTGTGCAAACCTAAGATCTTTTTATCTTATCTAATTTTAGTTTGCTTAAATTATTCCCACTTAGAAGTGGAAACTAAAGTCAGGAGAGTTTACTCATTAATTTTTAAAAATATTTGTTCACTCTCCCTGCATTTTAATGAAGCATCAAGTTTTGGGTTAAAATGGCAACCATTACATAGAAAGAAAAGCAGCAAATTCAACTCATAATAGTATTTTAGAACCGAAAGAATCCTTTTTTAAAAGGAGCGATAGAGAGCCTCACAAAGCAATCACATCATCAGAAACAGGAAAACAAAATCATAGAAGGAAAAACTTGGAGATGAGAAGCTGTAGACTAAAGCTCCTTTCACAAGAGGACAATGTGTGTCATCTGAAAGTCAAATGCCTAATATGGTAATGTTCACAAAAAAGCCAGGGTCTCCTGAAAAACCTTTCCACAGAAGACTATCAAATTCTTTGATAAACAAAATACATTCAAAATGTTTTCCTCTCCTGCCAGAAAAAAATAAGAAAAAAGGTTAGAGGGCAGGCAAGGCTCCAGAGAACTTCATTTTTGAAGATGTCACATGGGCAGATTGGAAAAAAAAAAAAGGAAAAAAGTATGGGCAAATTTAGGGAGGATGATACCATAACTTATCTGCAAGAGGACATGGGATATACTTGACACAAAACTGACATCAGAAAGAGTATAAGTGAAGGGTTATACTGTGTAGACACAAAGACTGAATGAATGAATGAGTGACCAAAGACACGAATAAACTCCTACAGCATTTGTCTTGGTTTCTCCTTCGGCAACGGAGCCGGCAGACAGGCGCGTGAACCTCAGTAATGAAGCACTGCAATTTCTATCCAATATTCAGAGGACTTTTTTAGAAACAGAGTGTCCCATAATCCTCTACCTAGAGCAGGAAGTTCAAGAGAACAGACAGGTGAGATTTTATTGGGTTGTTTTTCGTCTGTGGTTTTTGTTTTGTTTTGTTTTGCTTTGCTTTAATGGTGAGGAGCTACAGCTAACACCGAGAAAAAGAGCTCTTCCCAGCATCAGCTACAAGTGGATGGCAACTGAAAGAACACACGTTTAAGTCACCAAGATGGGTGTCCAGGATGTAGATGGAGGAGGTCCAACATACAGTCCTCTTGTCTGAAAGACGCTGAAGCAAAACAAGAACCCACAATTTGCTTGACGTATTAGTACGATTCGTGCGCGTTAAGTCCCTTCCTGGACTGTTCCCAAGATTCTGTCAACATTCAGCGGTTCAGTTTCTTTTAAGTAAAACGAAGCAACCTATTTCTTTCCAACACAATGTGCCAGCCTCAGAAACTGTGGTCTCCTTTATAAACTATACCAATCCCTTGTAATAGATCTTTCAACAAGTGCTGATGTAATACCTGTCCCTAATAGGAGTGTCCCGCGCACTCCGAATGCTCACACACACGCAACCATGGATGCTCCTGAACCTTTCGAGGAACATCTCAAACACCAAAACCAAGCTTTAAATTCCACATTTTCTTCATCCTCAATGATTCCAAATCACAGCCAAGAAATTAGAAAGCTTAGCTCTTCACTTCCAATCAGAATCCCCCAAGGAATCCCCCCAAAATCCAAGCACCAAAACATTCACGTAAAACATTAGCTTTCTCTATTTAGAAGAGATAAACTGAACCAGCAAGGTGATCAATCTTCCATTACACTTGGCATCTAGAGAAGATGGTGGGGCACGTACTTACAACTGACCAAATGAGGGAGCTTCACACTTTAAGGATTTCACAACTTCCCCTGTATGTGTAAATTAGGACCAGTATTCACTAATAAAAGCAGTACTTTTTCTTTTAATATTACAATTCATCTAGATATTCCACACTGTTCTAATTTGAAAAGAACACATGTAGAAGTATTTTCAATACTTCATTTAAAGTCAAATGGATGACCATAATAAAGTCTTTCATTTACTTAACTAAAAAAACCTATTTAACTTTAATTTATTTAACTAAAGAATTATAATTCAACAGATGTATAAAAATAAATTTTTAAATGGGGTTTATATATAAAGATACAAAGTCAAAATATAAAATGTATATATATATATGCTTATACATGTATTTATAGACCTCTTTCGTTTTACATTCACATTTATAATTTTTAGCATATACTATAAAATTCAGAGTTACACTCTAAGCACTCTGATTGAATTGATAAAGGCCCTTTCTTTAGATTATTACAACAAACTGCTAAAGCTAATACTGTAAAGCATAAATTTTCAGCACAAAGTCTAATTCAGACATTATTTGATGCTGTATACTTACTACATCAAACTTCTGAGTGATGTTCCCCTGGATATCAAGTAAATAAACCTTGCCGTAATGGGTGCCCAGTGCCAAAAACTGCAAGAGGAACAGAGGGGTCAGTTTATTAATGTACCATAAATACACATTTAGTAACCAAACCATTTTCGAAGTCAAAACCGAATGCATGAGCCGTGAGCAACGCCTTGCGAGGGATGCCCTCCTTGGAGAAGGCTTCTTTCCGGCTTCAGGGAAATAACAGAGCAGGGCCTACTTTATTGTGAGAGTGCAAGTCGGCTGTCAGAATGACTCATGAGGACCCTCATCTGCTGACAACTAATGGTGTGGATGCGGTCCGTACACAATGCCTGATGGACTGAGGCTGCAGATTCCAGTGTAGCTGGGAAAATACGACCAACCTATGGTTGAGCTCCAAGTCAGAAGGGAATGATTAACCCCTGCGTAATTTATGGCAAATGTGTAAATCTGCGCTAGCATTTAAGTTGAATAAATATATACACATGCACAAATGCCAAAGTATGATTTTTTTTTTTTTTAAAGAAAGGAAAATCTAAGTCATGCTGAGAGATGAAAAAGCTTGGAAGTATTTATATTATCAGTTAGCATTTAGATGCCTCTATAAAAGTTAATGTATAATATTGAGTGTAAATGTTTATATTCTAATGCAAAAAAAAATCCTTTTCTGTCACAAAATTACTGCTGAGCTACATATTCATTTTATGGTATGAAAGAGTTCATACGTTCCACTGCTCCTTTAATTCTTTGAATTAACCCTAAACAAACATGGAGAAACTTTAGGACTACCTGAAATATGACATAAGATTTTTCTTCTTTTTTACTTCTTGCGGCGTTACTCAAATAGTTCCAAATTCTATGCATTTCATTGCATGGGAGCATGCTTCATTGCAACCTATAATGAAATGCTCAAATTTACAGGCACTACTAAGCGTTTCAGTCAAGCAGCACAATCTTTATAAAAATAACCTTACAGAAAGTCAAGATTTAAAAGGATTTTATCGAAATGGAATTGCTTAAAATGAAATTTCAGTTCAGGCACTTAAAATATGAAGCTACATTAAAGAGAAGTCACAAAAAGGGAAAGAAGGGGTTCATTAGAAATTCCTCCCCTGCAATGCCTTTCACTCCTGCAAGGTTGCCTTTTTTCAGGAAGAAAAAAGTCCCCCGGGTAAAAAAATCAATACTGGTTAATAAAACATCAGGTGTGCAGACATAACTAGGTATGACGATTCCAGCGCACAGGCCTGCCTGAATGCACCGGGTGCCACGCCGATTACTCATCCAGGGCAGACAGCAAACCTGCTGGAAACGGGAAGACTGGGCCCCATGAAGGAAGGGGCAAGAGGTAATTCTAGGGGGAAATTAGTCTGAATATTTAAACCAAACCGGGACCCAAAGCAAAAAAACATTCTCATGTTGCATCCAAAGCAAAAGAACATTCTAATCAGAAACAGAGGACTCAGATGGCTCAGACGGTTGTCATTTTCTTTTGACCCAGTGAATCTGACAATATCTGAATTTAAAAAAAGAAAAGAAACCTGCATAATACTAATGAAAACAAATACTCTGCCTCTTTCTGAGTCTATGATAAAACAATGTGTCTTAAAAGCTCACCACACCCTAAGTATTCGACAGTATTGATTCTCCTCATAAATACTGTATTTAGCTTGTTAGAAAAGTAAAGGGGCTTGGATCCTAAAAGTGCTTCAGTACTGGGTGATTTTCCAATGCCTCGGTGAAGGCCATTCTTGAGCTTCCAGTGACACTGTATTTTATCTGAAGTTTCAAAGGTTCTATGCAGAGTACCCAAATATTAATTCCTTCCTTTTCCCTTTTTTGAAATTACTAGTTTGACTCATTTAAGATGGAAAGAAAACATAAAATAATTATTTTGAATTTATAGTTGCAACCTGTAATTGTAATTACTTTACTTCTGAACAAAAAAATCCAGTGGTTTCAGGGTGCCTGGGTAGCTCAGTCAGTTAAGTGTCCAACTCCTGACTTCGGCTTAGGTCATGATCTTTGCAGGGATGTGAGATCCATGTGGCGGGTGTGGAGACTGCTTAAGATTCTCCTTCCTGGGGCGTCTGGGAGCCTCAGTGGGTTAAGCCTCTGCCTTTGGCTCAGGTCATAATCTCAGGGTCCTGGGATCGAGCCCCGCATCGGACTCTGCTCAGCAGGGAGCCTGCTTCCCCCTCTCTCTCCTCCTGCCTCTCTGCCTACTTGTGATCTCGCTCTCTGTCAAATTGAAGGGAAAAAAAAAAAAAAAGGGGGAAAAAGATTCTCCTTCCTTCTGCCCTGCCCCGCCCCAAAAAGTTACAATTAAAATGAAAAAAATGCAGTGGTTTCTATGACAAGCTACCTTTTGTTTACTAAAACATTTCATCATTTGGATTAGATAAGTTGTTGCTGCTGCCTTTTCAAAATAAATAACTTCACTGCTCTTTAAAAAAAAAAAGTCTGATAAGACATGTGTATAGGTCTTACAAAACTTATTTAACTACTGAAATTATTGATGCTTTCACCTGCTAGTGTTTTTGATAACTCAAAAATTCAACAAAAAAATGCAAAATTGGCGACAAATCACAAAAGTAAATTCGAATCCTTTGAAATGCGACTCTTTGTAGCCATTAAAAGCCTTGAGATTTTTTAAGTATTAATTTTTTTTTAACCTGAGGACACTTAAAATCTTGGATGGAGAAAGAATAAGCATAATTTAATCAGCCTCCTTCATGTTTACTTACAGAAACTTGACTCCTTTTATAAACTACCAGATGGATGTCCAATCCTTCTGACCCATCCCATCCACTGGCATAATGGCTTCTACTTTTATCAAGTGGACTTTGTGTAAGTAAACAAGAGGAACAAGTGACAAGCTTTGGACACCACAAAGGACAATTAGGAGTACATTTCCTATGTGATTAGCTGTATAGTGTCATCTATACTCTCCCCATGGCATTTTACAGTATCAAAACAACAGAGCAGGGAGTGCCTTTAACTACACATGAGAAACTAAGTCCCGGGAGTTGATGTGACTTCCCTGGAAATGGTCAATCAGTGGCAGAGAGAGCCAAATACTGAATTAAGAGCCAAAATACTCTCAATTGGATCAGAAGCCTCATAAATAGAAACACGGGCATCAGATTAAGAGCGTGTGTTCTATAAGTCAGCACTGATTTTACAGTTCCCACTGTCAGAAGGCTCCTTGACCGAGTTGGTTTAATTGTGGTGTTAATAAAGTTTGATCTCTTGGCAGGCAAACTGCTCTCCTTTTTATCCATTCAGAGGTTCAACCATATATGCTCAGATAAAAAGCAGGTATAATGGGATAATAAAGGAGACAGATTAGAAGGACATTAATTAAATTTAAAGAGTACGCTTAGAATGGCAGCATCTCTAAGACCTTACGGAACATGGCCAATATCAGGTGTGCTTAACTCTGAAGGAGGAGGTAGACAGTGGACCCTGAGGCAGACAGTCTTGTAGTAAAAACCATTTTCAGGCAGAATGGATACAACTTGCTCAAAGGTATGTAATCACATAAAATCACACAGGACAAAAGTTAAGAAATAACAAGTGGTTATACATGGCAGCAGCATCCAGTTTGTGCCCAGGAAAGAGACAAGTGATGAGTCTGGAAGGTCGGTTAATAGGAAACATCTGAATATTTATGGAGATGAAAGGCAGAAGAGGAAAAGGGTGTGGGAGAGGCTGTCCAAATCACTAAACACCAGGAAAACAATCAAGAATTCTAGGGAGAATTACACGATCAGATCTGACCCTCTGGAAGATGACTTTAATAGAAAGAAATAGAAATAGAAAGAAATAGAAAGCTGTGGCTGGACCAGAGTGAAAGCAAATCTGTAGGAGAGTAGACTGCTTGGCAAGGTGTGTGTTAGTTCTGGGAGAAACGACAAGTGCCTGAACTGAAAGATGAGGGCTCAGGATGGAAGTGGGCTCAAGCAGGCGAGATGGGAGAAGGGACGTTATGAGTAAATACAGCCAAGTGTTGTTACCAGAACACCACCCAAGCAGAAAAAAGTGGGAAGACATAAAGCCAGTTGCAGGAGAGGGCAAGATCTTAGGGGGCCTTACACACCACAGCAAGGAGCTTAGACTTTATGTAGCAGATGGTGAAAATCACACTAGGGTTTTAAACCTGTATTTTCAACACATCATCCTGGCAACCAGGTGCAGAAGGCTTTAAAGTAGAAAAGTGAGAGGTCTGTGAGTGCAGGCAGGGGAAGTGCGAAAATCATCAGGGCTTAGGAATGACTGGGGTGAAGCAAAGGAAAGTCAGCTTTGGCTTAGGCGACAAGAGACTGTGATACCACCAAATGGGGTAGAGATCAAAAACAGATGAGAGATTAGAGATGGAAAAGAAGATGCATTCATTAGGGGTGCACTGAGTTTCAGGTACAAACAGAACAAAAGTAAAGACTGTTCAAGAGGCACGGGGACAAAGCAGCACACTACACTGGGGAGGTGTCAGTGTGTAGGTGGTCGCAGGAATTATGACATTTAAAATGAAGGAAAGTACAAACTAAACAGAAATGTGGACAATGGACCAAATCCTGGGAATACCAACACGTGAAGGAAAGGTGGAGGGAAGGAAAAAGTGAAAGAACGAGAAGGGAATCATAGCAATGATCAAGAGAATAATAAAAGAATGGTGCCATGATAAAAGGCTTTAAGAAAGCTTCTCTCAGCCTCTGTGTAGAAGAAAGGTCAGATCCACACTTCTGAAAGCAGCAAAAGTATCTGTCAGCTGGGGAATGGACAGATAAAATGTGGTATGTCCATACAACGGAATACTATTCAGCAACAAAAAGGAGTAAAGTACTGATCCAGGCTACATGACCCATGAACCTCAAAAACATGACGCTAAGTGAAAGAAGCCAGACACAAGAAACCAATGTATGACTTCATGTTTATGCAATATCCAAGATGGGCAAATCCAGACACAGAAAGAGATACATGGTGATGTGGGGCGAGGGTTAGCAACACTGGGGGCGGGGGGTGGAGTGAGATGTGGTGCAGATCAACAGTAGACAAAAAGACCTCTGAATGGGAAGAAGAAAGCCTCTGTGGGGAAGGCTGGGCATGGATCCAGATGAGTTGGGAAAGGGGTCAGGAGCCAAGGCTTCATGCCTGAGAGATTCGATTTTCTTAATTATAAAGAAATGGCATCCTTGGAATGGCTGAAAAGACAGACTAAGGACTAATGGAGCGGATGAAACACAAATCTGGAACTGCAACAGTGTTTGTAGTGGCTTGAGGGGGTAACAAAGGACAGGGACGTAAGTGAACTGAATATACGGGCAGAAAGCAAAGCTAGTTAACCACCTGACAGAGATAAGAAATTAAACAAAGAACCAATTCAAGATCAGAGCTCCCTACAGTCACAGAATGGGGTTAGTAGTAAAATTAACACAAGGGCTTGAAGGATTAAGAGGAGTCACCAGAGAGCGCACTGGAAGATACTCAAATTCCAGGTATGGAGGCCATCTTACTGGTGGAGAGCTGAGACAAGGCAGAGGTAAAGGTATGCAAGGACAGCAAGGCCTTTCTTCAGTGAGTGAAGCAAAGCAAAGAGGAATTTGGGACATGGCAGCAATGGGAGCAGGAAGATGGCAACCATGGGAAGGGGTAGTACAACCTAACAAGAGGTGCCCCGAAGACGGGGATTTCTGAGGAAGCAAGAGCAAACAAGCATTCTGTTAACATGCTGAGTGAATACAAAAATCTGTTTAGAGCAGAACGAGTCCTGAAAGAAAAAGGAAGGGTAGGGGCAAAGAGGAGGATGAGGCGACACTGCTGGTAACACAGAATAAAGCCAGGAGATGGATCAGACTTGGGGGCTTGCCTCACTTGTGGGGCCCATCGGGAAGAAGAGGGCAATGGTTCAAATGGCCCAGTCTCCAGCACTCCACTTACAACACATTTTGTTTTGGTCTAAGAATAGACTAAGGGTGCTGTATAGCACTTAGCGTGGACTCAAATTTTGTGGGGGCTTTGTGATGGCAAGGATTAAAATGTGGAATATATTAATTCACTCATAGGTCATATAAGTAATCATCTGGGGCCTTTCTACTGATTCCTAACACCTCCAGTGTAATCTCTTCTTCACTTATGAAAAGCACTGAGTGCTACACCATTTCCAATCTTAACACTTCCCAACTCTACTACTTATGGTTTGAGGAATGTAAAGTGATGGAGTTGCCAAGAACTACTTGCTATAAATCTTTCACATCTATCTAAATTCTATTTGATACACCCTTGCAGTATGGGGAGGGGTGTCTGTGTGTGCAAATACATACATATAATGTTTTGGTTGTCGTTTTCATTTTTTTGTTGGAGAGGAAGAAGAAAGGAAGAGTGGAAGGGAGACACAATTACTGAGCCACCATCAAGAGCATGAGGATTCCACAGTGTAAAGAAACTTATAAGAGAAACAACTTACAGAAGGATCCTCTGGAAGGGCTACCTTACCTTGTCATGGACTGTCATGCAGCTAGCTGCATCCTTCTGAAGGATTTCTGTTACCCCATTGGAAAGCCTTTCATACTTCAGTTTGGGCTCCTCTTCACTTTCTTCTTCCTGCACAAAGAGCAGAGAAAATGACAGCCATCACAGATTCATTTGAAACAGTCAGACTCAAAACACATTCCTTATGGGAACCCAGAGAGGGCTTCCTCCATGACTGTCAATAACTACAACTACAGCTCAAGGTTAAGAGCGTCATGTTTCATTTTTCCTCCTGGGAGTATCAGCTGCTACAACTTCACCAGCAGAATACATTCAAAGGTTGAAAACAGGAGGGTACATTCTTACCGCTGACAGAATTCAACTTTGGTATATTAGAGTAAATACAAAACTATCTGGCCACATAAGCCAATAAACAATGTGTGGGCAAAATACTTCTCAGTTTGACCTCATGGGCATAAAACACTCCCAGCAGGGAGAAAGGAATACAATAAAACTCCAAAGACATGGATTTTGTATCTTAAGACTATAAATATTTTTGTCAGATTTCAGAATATTTCATTTTAGTTAGAAAAACATAGTTATAAAATCAAAGAAAGGAAATTGGAAATTTTATATACAACAAAATGTATTTGTACCTTCAGATAAAAATATTTTAAAATTTACTTTCCAAAACTGATAATCCATGATCACTTGTGTTTGTTAGAAAATGTATTTACTTTCATTTGAATAAACCTAATGCATAAAAATTTCTTTTCCTTGAGTGCTCCACATCACTCGGCATCAGGGAATCAAAACCACAATGAGATACCACCTCATACCAGTCAGAAAGGCTAAAATTAACAAGCCAGAAGTGACACATGTTGGAGAGGAGAGGAGGGAACCCTCCTACACTGCTGGTGCAGCCACTCTGGAAAACAGCATGGAGGTTCCTCAAAAAGTTGAAAATAGAGCTACCCTATGACCCAGTAATTGCACTACTGGGTATTTACCCTAAAGATACAAATGTAGTGATCCGAAGGGGCATGTGCACCCGAATGTTTATAGCAGCAATGTCCACAATAGCCAGACTGTGAAAAGAACCTAGATGTCCATCACAGATGAATGGATAAGGAAGATGTGGTACTGTTCCACAGTAATGGAATACTATGCAGCCATCAAAAGAAACAAAATCTTGCCATTTGCAACGACATGGATGGAACTAGAGGGTATTATGCTGAGTGATATAAGTCAATCGGAGAAAGACAATTATCATTCCTCCCTGATATGAGGAATTTGAGAGGCAAAGTGGGGGACTTGGGGGGTAGGGAAGGAGAAAATGAAACAAGATGGGATTGGGAGGGAGACAAACCATAAGAGACTCTTAACCTCACAAAACAAACTGAGGGTTGTGGGGGAGAGGGAGGTATGGAGAGGGTGGTTGGGTTATGGAAATTGGGGGGTGGGGGTATGTCCTATGGTGAGTGCTATGAAGTGTGTAAGCCTGACAATTCACAGATCTGTACCCCTGGGGCTAATAATACATTATATGTTAATAAGAAAAAATTAAAAAAAGAAAAAAAGAAGGGAAAATATTTGAAAAAAATTGCTTTTTCTTAAATGTATTTAAATTTCTTAATCCTTTTGTATGCACTATTACTAACTTTGTGTGTTCAACCTCACTGCTGATACAGCATACCTTATGATATCCCTAATCCTCACAGTTATGGAGTAAAGTTAGGAACCTATATTGACTACGATGGTTCTAAATTAAATCAAGGATAATTATAAAAATTATTACAATGACTCAGAAAAAGATGTTATTTTACTGTATCACTATGTGACAAGAAACCATAAGATGTGCATGCACCTTCAACTGTGACAGGATAAAGCGGGCCAAAATAGAAGTTCACAAACATAATCTACTCACTGACATTCTCTTAAAATATAATTGTATATGTGGCGCCTGGGTGGCTTAGTTGGTTAGACGGCTGCCTTCAGCTCAGGTCATGATTCTAGGGTTCTGGGACTGAACCCCGCACTGGGCTCCCTGCTCAGCAGAGAGCCTGCTTCTCTCTCTTTCTCTCTGCCTGTCGCTCTGCTTACTTGTGCTCTCTACCTCTCTGTCAAGTAAATAAATAAAATCTTAAAAAAAAAAATTGTATAGTCTTCATTTCCCAGCTAACATTAAAGTAGTATGAGGCACACCAATGCTCCCACCCAGAAAAACCAGAAAGCCTTAACGAAATACATAGCAACAGTCAAAGGCATCAGTGAAAGGGCTGTTGAAGCCACTACCTGAGCTAGAAGGACCAAGATTCCAAGGTGGTGGAGAAACCGGAGAAAACAAGGGGAGGTGAGCTGCCAAGCGCCAGCCATTCTTCCTGGAGGTATTTACCAATTCGGAGTGTAGGACAAGAGGCTGAGAACCCAAGCTCTGCCTTGGAAGATGGCCATTGCTGAGGGTAGGAAAAGCAGCAAACCTTCTGGTACTCATAGGGCTCAAGTAACAAAACTGGAAGCTTGAGGGGCTAAGATCCCAGTGGAGGAGAGAGGCATACAAGTAAGCTTGTTACACAGCTACCTCTCCCCATAAGACAATCGCCAATTTCGAAACCAACATGAGACAAGAGGGTAAAAAGCTAAACAGAAAGCCTCAAAAATGCAAACCAGCTGCCTTGGTGTGCTGAGAAGATAAGAAAGAGATTGCAGGAATTACCAACAAATGAAGTTCTGATGAATATCACAGGCTAATCGGAACTCCTGGTCCCGAGGGGACACACAAAAAAGTGTTTACCAAAACTTCAATCTGTCTCAGACTCAGTTCAACCCCTGACTAGATTAAGGTATGTATGTATCCCCAACCTACCTGTCCAAAGGACAGGGTGACTCCTGAGAGAAAGAAGACGAAAACTACTCGGGCCTCTACTATTTTCATTTATGATACTGAGAATAAAAAATAATAAAATCAATAAAAAAATCACCAGATATGCCACAGGACAGGACCAAGTAACAAAAGTCAAGGAGAAAAAAAAAGGCCATAAAAACAGACCCATGGGTGACCTGGAGTTAGCAAAAAGGGCTTTAATAGGACTATGATTCATTTGTTCAAAAAAAAAAAAAAAAAAAGAAGACAGATGAAAGGATAGCAGTTTTCAACAGGGAACTGTAATCCGTTAAAAAGATTCAAATGGAAATTTTAAAAGTGAGAAATGTCACTGAAACTAAGAATGCAACAGATGGCTTAGCAGAAGACAGGATTAGTGAAGTGTAAAACAGGTCAAAAAATATCCAAAGGGAAGCCAGAGTAGAAAAATGGATGAAAAATACAGAATAGGAGATATGTGGAATACAGGGAAAAGGGCTAACATTTTTAGTTAAAGTCCCAGAAAAATAAGAAAAATGACAGGGGGGAAAAGCAGAAATGACATTTAAAGAAGTTAACAACTGAGAATTTCCTAAAACTGACAGACATCAATGCAGGAATTCAAGAAGCTTTGTAATCCCATGCAAGATAAATATGAAGAAAATAACACCTAGGTACATCACAGTAAAAATAAGTAAAAGAAAAATGACTTGTAGAGTGGTTAAACACTGGGCCTGGTGAAGATTATGACTGACAGGACACACCAGGGAGAGATGCAAACTCAAATGTCAAGAGAAATCTTTGCCTCTGGGGCACAGAACTGTATCATCTCATGGAAAGGAGGATATTCATCAAACATCATGAAAGAGACTTAATATCAGATCCCACCATTCTCTTGACTTTAGAAAAACAAACACTGGAGAGTTAAATGTAATTATTCCATTTTATAGATTTTTAGTACAATGATGATCAGAAATTTTAATTTCACCAAGACACATACACAAAGCCAAAATTCAAACTGTTATGAATCGCCTAAAGTTAATGACTTGTACAACACACTACCCAATCGCCTATGAAAATGATGCTACACATCACAACAGAAAATGAGGCTACAAAAGCCTCCACAATTTCTATGCCTACAAATAACTATGAACTGCGTGATCAATAGGAAATGTTTAAAAATATATTTAGCCGGCGCCTGGGTGGCTCAGTGGGTTAAAGCCTCTGCCTTCGGCTCGGGTCACGATCCCAGGGTTCTGGGATCGAGCCCCACATCGGGCTCTCTGCTCAGCAGGGAGCCTGCTTCCTCCTCTCTCTCTGTCTGCTTCTCTGCCTACTTGTGATCTCTGTCAAATAAATAAATAAATAAAATCTTAAAAAAAAAATTTAGCAGATGCATTAGTTATCTATTGCTGCATAACATATTATGCCAAAGTTTGCTGATTTAAAACAATAAATGTATTATTTTTGTTTTATTTATTCATATTTATATAAATTATTTATTTTATTTTATTTATTCATATTTATATAAATTGTTTATTCATATTTATATAAATTATTTATTCATATTAAATATGAATTTAATAGTTCTGTGGGTAAGCAATACAGGACTGGCTTAGGTGGGTGGTTCAGACTTAAGGTCTCTCACGGGGTTGCAGGCAAGATGTCTGCTGAGGCTGCAGCCATCTGAACACGTGACTGGGGTTAGGGTATCTGCTTCCACAATGGCTCACTCAAATGTGGCCAAGCTGGTGCTGCATGTTGGCAAGGGGCTTCAGTTCCTCACTTCACTGACCTCTATCTGGGTTGCTAGAGTGTCCTCAGGACAAGGAAAATGAAGTCCCCCGAAATGAGTGATCCAAGAGCAAGCGAAGTTGAATATGACGTAGCCTAAGAGGTCACACTTCTGCAATATTCTACTGATCATACAGGTCAGCCACAATTCAGTGTGGGAGAAGGGGTCACAAGAGCAGGGGTAATAGGTGAGGATTACTGGGGGCCACTGTGCAGGCTTGCTACAAAAGTAATAAAATTAAGAGCAATGAAGATGGTTTAAAAAAATCAGTAGGGGCGCCTGAGTGGCTCAGTTGGTTAAGCATGTGCCTTCAGCTCAGGTTATGATCCCAGGGCCCAGGGATCGAGCCTCACATCAGGCTCCCTGCTCAGTGGTGGGGGTCTGCTTCTCCCTTTCCACCCCACCCCTACTCGTGCTCTTGTGCTTCCTCTCTCTCTCAAATAAATAAAATCTTTTAATAAAATCAATATTCCA